CTTTCTTTCTTTCTTTCTTTCTTTCTTTCTTTCTTTCTTTCTCCTTTCTTTCTCTTTCTTTCAAAATATATCTTTATTGATTTCAGAGAAAGGAGAGGGAGAGAGAGAGATAGAAACATCAATGATGAGAGAGTCACTGATCGGCTGCCTCCTGCACGCCCCCCACCCCCCACTGGGGATCAAACCTGCAACCCCGGGCATGTGTCCTGACCGGGAATCAAACCACAATCTCCTGGATCCTAGGTTGATGCTCAACCACTAAGCCACACCCGGCCAGGCTCAGCCTCTTTTCATACAAAATATTCTGTTTTGATCCCATTTCTATAGTCCAACTTCTAGCATTCCTGGTTTATACCTGTGTATCTCCCAATTTTTCCCAATAAAGTACTCTGATCCTGTGCCTCTGAAACTGAATGACTCACATCTGTTGGTACATTATGGTTAGTGGAGAATAAAAGCTCATTGTGGCTTCTGGAGGCACCATTAAAGGGATTGAAGAAAATCACCTTGAAAGCTGAGAGCCCCAGGGATATTGTTATTCTCTGTTTCTTCAAAAACTTGCAAGACCCTTTAAAGTCAAGGGCTCATGGGCATTGCCTTAGTTTGGAGCCCCCCGAAATTTATCCTAGGACAAAGGCATGGGTAAAAGTAGTTCACTTGGGAGATAAATGTGGGGAGTGGGTTAAGTGATATAGGAAAGCAAGGAGTTGATTACGAGCTGGTTACCACTGTGAGAAACTATAGCTTAATTCTACTGGAGACCTTCTAAGGGACCATGTAAACCATGCCTCCATATTTTTTCATCCGTCTTCAGTTCTTGGGAAGCTGAGGCGTGTATCCACTGATTCCCATAGCCTACGGGATGTCTGGGGGCGTGAGCTCCCTCATTCTTTCAGGCTGTCCTTCATGCAATCTGAGCAGGCTCCCAGAAGCCGGAGAAAACCCACAGCAGAGAAGTAGAGACTCTGATGTTTGAAGTGGAAAGCTATCAGTGTGCACTGGATATTACTCAGCCATGGAAGGAAGGAAGCACGAATACATGCTACGCTGTGGAGGAACCTCAGAAACATTGCTCTAGGTGAAAGAAGCCAGACGCAAACGCCAGTCACAGAAGTGACTACTAATGGCTGTGAGGTTTTCTTTTACGACGAAGACGTTTTGGAACTAATAAAAATGATGGATACACAACATCATGAAGGTATTAAAAAGTCACGTAAGTGTTCACTTAAAAATGGTTAATTTTATATGATATGAATTCCATCTTAATGATAAAAAATGGATTAGAGAAAAACGTGCACTAGAACTGTCTCCTGCAGCTGCAGGTGACATCAGAGGCGAGCTGAGAGTATACTGGAGCTCAAGCCTTAAGTTGGAAAGTTAATAGAACAATCTTCAGGCCCCACCCACTGATGCAGCTGGTTCTGAGGTCATAACTGACATTTATTTACTATTTCCCTCCTGTACCACCTATTCCAAACTGCTCCCAATGGCAGAAGCTCTCCATGAGCTCTAACTCTCTCGCCTGCTTTCAAAGCGCCGTGATCTTGACAGGCACTCTGAAGATTCAGTTCCATCTGGAATCGGCCTGTCTCTTCCTCCACATGCTGCTCATAGTAACACCTTTACTCTTTGCCGATGGTTAAAGAAAAGGGTTGGCCCAGAGAGAAGAACGAAGGAAAGGCCTGGAGGGGAGAAAAGGGCAGGGAGAAAGAGACCCAGAGAGAGAGACTCACAGAAAAGGAGAGAGAGACAGAGAGTGAAAGAAAGAGGCACAGGGCGAAGAAAAATAAACAGTGTGAGGAAAAGCAGCAGACAGAAAAATAAACATGTCAGGGGAAGAGTAAGACTGGGGAGAAAGGCAAGAATTAGGATACTCTTGACCTCCAGACTCCCCTTGAAAAATGAAAAACCCTGGAATCGAATGTCCCCTCTGCTAACGGAGTCTAGGAGCCCCAGGTAAGCGCTGTGCCCTCTCCCTGGTTGCCCAGGGAGCCAGGGAGCCTCAGCTCACGTGAGGACTAGGTGCTGCCTATCAAGTGGCCCTTCCCCCAGGGCTGGTGCTGTGGTTGCCAGCTAGGCCCACTGATGGCTCCAGGGACTTGGTGTTCCCCAGAGGCGGGAGTGTAGCTGGCTCATCTCCAGGGCTGTGTGGCTCCTGGAGTGTTAGGCTGTGCCAGGGCAGCCAAAACTCAGGAGAAATTGCTGCTGAGCACCGGCCACAGCAGCCCCCTCCTAAAATGGGCCTCTTAGGACTTCTGCCAATACTGGTACCATTCATCCTCCTAGGGGGTGTCCAGGAAGCTGGACTGGTTGAGGGGTCCTCTAACAGTAAGTACTGGGGTCTCAGTCCTCCTAGTGGAGAAATGGAACTCTGCTGGGAGGAAGAAACAAAGAATTCTACCCATAAGAAATGCTTTCCCCCACCTCAGCCTGGGATCCTGGGGCGGGGACAGTGAAGATATTTGGAGTCTTCTTTTTAGCTCCTTTCCTCCTGGTAAGATGCCTCTGTGGATGCAGGAAACAGTCTGTGGCAACTGACCCCCCACCATCATTATGAGAGGAAACTTCACTGCCTGGAAGTGCCTGGACCTGGAGCTCATGAAACAAACTAAGGGCCCTGGGAAGCTTAAGGGTCTTTTCCATAAGAAAGCCACTCCCCTTAGTAGCACCCTTCCCATTGCAGCCCCATTCTTTGGGGATAATGAATGGTCTCTGGAAGTCCCTTGAAATGCTGAGATAGGAAGACCCTCATAATTAGCAGCTAAAATATAAGAAGCACTCAGACAAGAGTGGAGCCAGACACTGCAGGTTCAAATCCTGGCTCCACTCCTCAGCAGCTGTGTGACATTGGGCAAGTTCCCATAATTTCCCTGTGCTTTAGATTCCTCTATTAATAAAACGTGAATATTAATACCCATAGAGTTGTCACTAGGATTAAGGAGAGAAGTACAAGCACACAATAAGCACTTCATCAATATCAGTTATTATTATTATGCCCAAGGCAGCCTGACAGTGGCTTTACAAGCTTTGTTACATTAATCATCAAATCAACTCTAGAGGCAAATGAGGGAGTCAAGGTTCAGAGATGGTGCTTGCCATAGCAAGGGTTGCACAGAATTCAAAAGCCCAGCCATCTGACTCCAAAAATGGAGAGCTCAATCACCAAAAGCTATGGCACCCCACACACACACACTCAGGGAGTGTCCAGATACAGGAAGATCAAGTGACCAGAAGAGTCCTCAGGGAGAGTGTCCTCCCTGAAACTTTGTGGGGCTGGGGGTGGGGGAGAGGCTGCATTTAGGGATTAGGTTGTAAATTGTTATGGGCATTGGGAATGGGGGCAGCAGTGCGTCAATCATGAGCCCTCTGAAGATCACTACTTTCTGGAGACAATGAAAACAAGCTTCCCTAAATCTGCAGTGGTGCCCTGGACATGGGAATGGTGCTTTGGCCCCTTCAAGGTCCTTTCTTCCCTCCCCTCAGAGATGTGTCCTAGAATCAGAGTACAATGTGATATGGAAGAAAAGAACCAATGTCTGAAGAACAGTCAGTGCCCCAAGAGGATGAAGTGTTGCAACTTTAACTGTGCAAAGAAATGTTTAGACCTCAAAGAAGGTAACTAAGAAATCCCCTGAACTATCCAATGCCCTCACCCCCTACTCCCACCATCTGCCCACCTGCACTGGGCATTGCCAGACTTCTTCCCTGGTCCACTGATAGCTAGTGTTTGACCAAGAGTCTGGGTGCATCTTCTACTTGATACAAATCCTGGACTGGGGTGGGTGGGTATTGGAAGTCATGGGTTTTATTTCTTTTTTGTTTTTATTTAGGTATGTGATGTAACAGAATTTTCCCTTATGTGTCTTAGTTTCTCCATCTGTAAGAAAGATTGGGGGGGGGGACAAAAAAGAAAGAAAGATGTGGGCATTAGACTACAATTGTCTCTTGGCTACTCTGTGATCCTCTGAGATGCCAAATAACCAGTGAAGTCCTCTCAAATGCCAACATGGTGTCAGATAATAGAATAGCTGTAAGACACAAATATACGATTTTTATTTCCTGGCTTTCCCCCACCCCCAGGCTTCTCTATCTATATAAATCCGAGATGCCTTCCCTAACCACCTTGGACCTCCTTCACTCTTTCCCCTCTGCTCATATCACTGAGCTCTAAAGAGACCATCAAGGACTATTCATCCATTCATTCATTTCACAAATATTTACTGGTGCCCCTGACACCCATGATGGGCTCCACTTGCTCAGTGTAGCCAGGGAGCTCAGGAAAGGTTTTCCTTGTAAAGGGATCCACAATTTAAGACATGAGAGATCTTAAACTCTGAGGTTCTAAAAAATTCTCTTTTGCCTCATAGCACTATGCACAAAATAGTTGCTCTATAAATGCTTCTTGAAGTTCAGGATACATCTGTGTGTTTTTTTAAAGATTCTTTTTACTGATTTTTAGAGAGAGAGAAAGGGAGAAGGAGAGAGACAGAAACATCAATGTGAGAGTGAAAAATGGATTGGCTGCCTCTTGCATGCCCCCTACTGGGGATTGGGTAGAAACCCGGGCATGTGCTCTGACTGGGAATGGAACCAGCAACTTCTCAGTGTGCAGGACGGCACCCAACCGAGTCACATTGGCGATTTTATTAATTTGGTTTTTTTACTGTGAACATTTCTGAAACATCCACTCAGTGCCAAATTATCTGCTCGGAACTGGTGTACCAAGATGACATAAGGCACAAAACTCACATTCTCATGGAGGAGTCAGAAAATGCAAACAACTACATAGAAGTGGTAAATGTGTGTGCAAGATTGAGAAGCAATAAGGAAAAGCAGGAGTGAAGCATAAAGTCAAGAAAGGCAAAAGAGAAGAGTTTGACATTTGAGAAGGGTTTTGAAGAATGAAAAGGAATGTACCTAGTGCACAAGAGGGATGGGCATTCCAGGCATGTGCAAAGGCGTGGAGGAGTGTAAGAGTAGGCACCCAAACCGCTTTACTTTGAAATCTCCTTGCAGACATATGCAGTTTGCCAAAGATAGTTGGCCCCTGCCTGGCCCACTTTCCATGCTGGTGGTACAATACGGAAACTCAGGCATGCTCCAAATTCATCTATGGTGGTTGCCAAGGGAATAATAACAACTTCCAATCTGAATCTATTTGCAAGGTCATCTGCAAAAAAAAAAGTAAGTCCCAGGGGTCCCGTCTCCCATGCTCATTTGGGCTACCCTGGGAGGTCTGAGTGTTAGCTGGTCTATTCCAGAAACTTGGCAGATTTGGGGCTGACATAACCAGTTCAATCAGGAGGTAAGAATGCAGTTTCAGAGGGGTAAGTAAAGGAAAAAGGGTGGGAAGTGAAGCAGTAGGCAGAGTTGGCAAGCATGAGATGAATAGGGGCTGCAGAAAGAGGAAGCAGAAGTGGTGGAGTGTCCTAGAGCAAGTTAGAAGATGGTCCAGTGAATAAGCTCAGTGCTGGACACCATGAACCAGCCAGTCACTCCAGGCCTTTATGTCTCACCAATACTCATCACTGATTCTCTTCCCTTTCTTTCTTAAGGTGATTATAGCCAGAACAACCACATGCTATATTGATTAAACCAAGACATTTCTGAGAGTGAAAGGAGACACCATTAATTATTTTACTGGGACAACAGACATAAACTGAGACTCTACTGGAAAACCAAAACACGTGATCATTTTCTGAGCCCCCAAAGTCACTCCACTTCTGTTTTCTCTTCCTGTGAAAAGATGTCAAAAAAATCTTCTCTCGAAGATGCCCACACTTTATTTCCCCTTTCCCAGGCATTTATCCCTGCTCTCTTTCCCTTAAGCTTTAAGGGTCCTGGTAAGACTTGCAACCAGGGGAGCAGTGGGTAGTGGGAGCTTGTCCCAGGCTAACCCCCTGAATCTGTCCAAGGCATGTCTCCCATTTCTCTCACTTTCCAGTGAGCTAACAGCAGCCCTGCCTTAGCTCACTTCTGTCACCAAGACTTTTACTTCTCAGTGAGTCCACACTGCCCTGCATGGCTCACTTCTTTCTTATAATGTTTCTAGAGGGTTAAGCAGGGCACCACCTAGGTCTTTCTGTTGCTTCTTCTACCCTAAGCCCTTCTTTTGTTTCACTATCCCCAGCTTTAATGTACATACTCTAAAAATGACACACACACACACACAAAGATCTTATCTCCCTTTTCCACTGACTGCAAGATTTGGTTCTTAAGGGGATTAGAGCCCAAGCATCTCACCCTTTTTATCCTGCTATCTCGCAGAATCATGGTCTTGGTAGGATAACCTGAGCTGGAACAGCCTCCAGGATTTGGCTCATAATACAGGCTGTCTCCACGAGTCCTTGACTGATGTTCCATATTGGTTCCACTGGCCAAATCTCAGCTGCCAAGACTTGGCTGTTCTAATCACTGAACCCCAGGATTTGCTTGCTCCCCCTTTCCTCTAGCTCAGCTTCTCTTCAAACATAATGCCCTTTGCCCTATGACCCTTTCTCAGTGTGTGACCCTGTCTCTTCAACTTTATCCTTTGGAAGCCTCCAGTTTCCCCTAATAAAATGCTCTGTAAGGTTTGATATCTCTGAGGCTGAATAATTCACATCTGCTCCCTGAGGGCAGTTTTCAGAGAAGTCATTGGGTCTCCTAGTGACTTCAGAAGAGGGAGAGAGGGGTAGGAAAATCTTGCAAACTGAAAACTTTGATGACACTGTTGCCCTGGTAAAATTGGAACCAGAGCAGATCCATGTTTTGTATAGTCTAACACTTATAAAGTTAGAGGGTTCTTTCTAAAAACGAATACAAATTAAATTAAGAAGTGAATGTTCTTTCAAACGAGAAAGGAAATCATAACCAATTGCAAATTTTAAAAAGCTAACAAATACCACAAATTGTACAAGATCCATGTAGATTAATTATTAAGTTTTTACATATATGACAGCAATTCTGCAAAACTCAATTTCTGTGGAAAGATAATTCATTTTTTTTGTTGAACATGGCTGAACAAAAATTATTGCATTTGGACTTTGATTGTACTTAGGATGCATAAAAATAGAAGCATGAATGCACAGCCATACTTGATATTTGTGCCCTAAATACACAGGAATTCAAATAAATTCTCTTTTGTATTATTCTATCAAGAAACTTGGTTGGGACAGGGCAGGGTGCAGGGATGCTCCCCTCAGGACCTCAATTTTCCACCCATAAGTTGAAGGTAGTGGGCTAATGTCAGAGAGTACTTCTAAATTTGAGACGATAAGGCAGCTCAGGAGCCCTGCCCAACCTGATAAGCACCTGGAGCTCTTCCACCCATCGGTGTTTCTCAATCCTTGCTTGAGGATGATGTACATGAGTGACTAGAACAGAATCATCTGTCCTAGGGGCTCATGGACCAGAGGTGTCCTTGAAAATAGCTAGAGTGTGCCCTGTGGTTAGCAGTATCAGCTCATCTGCTATGCTCAGGGTGAGCTCAGAGCTCTTGTGGCTGAACACAGGGAACTCCATGCCTTATAAGGACCTCAGTGAAAGCTACGGCATCACTTCATTGTCAACTGTTTGCTCATTTCTCTGCCGGCTAGAACCCAGAGGACACCCTGAGTGGGATCTTTAGGTGTTATTCATGGTGCCATGCAGAACCCCCCATATTCTCTCTCCTTGTTCTCACCTCAAAGCTCCCTGCAGAGCCAGAAATGCCCAGAAATGGGTGGTTTGAAAACTCAGGAAATATCCAAGCTGAGGGTATTAGAGAGCTCCTCTAGCCCCAATAACCTTTTTTTTTTTTTTTTTTACACGAGTACAAATGCAAGCTTCTAGTAGGAAATAGACATCCATGATCAAGATCACACAGCAAATCAATAGCAAAACTGGAGCTAAACTCCAGGTTCAAAGAGTAGCAAGGTGCTGCCAGATCTCACAGCCTCTTTGGAAATCAAGGTGGATATAATGGCCACTTGTCACTTCGTTTTTTAATATTCAACATCTTAATGTCATTCCTACAGTTGAATTCCCGACCGTCGGGAGTCTTTGTGTAAGGTAGAACCAGTGTTGAAAGGCCAGTTGAAAGACTGTATTGGTCAGGGTTTAGTAACGGACACATAAACCATACTTAGTATTTCAAACAGAAAACGTAACACTGAGAATTGGTTACAAGAATAGTGAGAGAATCTGGACATTAAGAAAAAACTAGGGCTTTAATAGGAACCAGAGAGAACATTTTTCTCCAAAATAACAAGATAAAGTGAGACTAGTTCCATGAATAATAGAAAAAGCTTTGGGCTTGGGCAGCTGATCTCTACTGCTGGCCCAGGCATTTAATCGCTATGTGACAATGAGCGTCATTCTCTCTGGGCGCCCGTTACCACACCTGCACCACTTGTAAAAGACAAAGAAAGGATCTTCCCCCAACCCCAGTCTCACCTGGGGCACGTCCTTGGCTCTTATCCTTCCTGGCCCCAGTGATGTTCAAAAAGATATCAGTGGTGTTAGTGATGGGGAAAGTGTGGGCCTGTGCAGAGCAATAGGTGATCCGGTAAAACACTGTAGACCACACACTGTTCAGGAAGACCCGGGAGTCCAAGCCCTTGTGCTATATCTGCCTCTCATTAGGTGAGCTGCACTCCAGGCCAATAACATATCAGGAAGGGAGAACTGAGTCTGTATAACTGTTATTTGTGTTTGAAGGAGTTTCCACTCTTATTCAATAGGATGTACACTGCATAGTCAACAAGTACTGCTAGCTGAGCTGTTGTAAGATATCTCAGACATGAAACAACTTCAGCAGGCCTTGTGAGGAAGATGGGCGTACATCACAGAATCTCTTAAATACATTGTCTGCCTTTGAGTAGGTCAAGGATTTTTTTCTGTAGCCAAATCATCTAAGTGGCTCACTAATACCAGTGCATTAAGAACTCAGAGATTCTAGAGTCTTTAAAAAACTGAATTAAAAGAAAATGAAAGGTCTTAAGGTGACTCTGATGCATTATAAGTTCGGAACTACTTGTTTAAAACTCTTCTGATTTAATATCATACTCCTGATTAACATAACTTCCTTGAGTCTTGGTTTCCTCATCTGTGAAATATGCAAAACAATAAAACCAGTGCCACCCTAGCTGGTTTGGCTCAGTGGTTAGAGTGTCGGCTTGCGGACTGAAGGGTCCCGGTTTGATTCTGGCCAAGGGCATGTGCCTTGGTTGTAGGCTTGATCCCCGGCCCTGGTCAGGGTACATGCAGGAGGCAACCAATTGCTATGCCTCTCTCACACTGATGTTTCTCTCCCTCTCTCTCTCTCTCTCCCCCCCTTCCACTCTCTCTGAAAAGCAATGGAAAAAATATCCTCAGGTAAGGATTAAAAAACAAACCAACCAGTATCATGGAGTTTTTGATAAGCACACAAGATGAGTAATTTAAAGTGTATATAATATACTGCCTGGGATGTTGATGTTCCATAAACAATAAAGATTAGTATTGTTACGAGAACAAACATAGTAAAAAAGGCAGGCACCCCTTTATTATCTCAACCACTCACATGCAAACCTTGTAGGGTCACAGCTTCCAGAAGAGGGGTCAACCTAGAGCTCCCTACAGTGAGCCTTTTCCATGTCTTATGAGTAGTTCCAGACTCCTGAGCTCTATAGACACTTTCTCCCTCCTCTATTTATATTCAAGCTATTTGGCATAGAATGCTAATAATTAACCTCTGCTAAAAATTCTACTTGGATTTCTGAAGACATAAATTAACTACTCTTAAACTAATCAACCTTATTTTGCCCCTCTAGACATTTGGAATATAAATTTAAAAATAGAAATAAACTCTCTTAGTATATGTATGCTTATGATAAATGTATTTGTTATATGTATAAGCAAGTCTTCCCTCTAAGTCCCTGTACCCCTGCTGTATAAAATGGGGATGACAATACTGTCTATCCCAAGGACATTTTAGGAGAGTGAAATGAGACAAGGCAGAAAATTCCCTGACATGTTGGTGTTGAAGTGGTTAGTTTCCTTCTCCCTTCTAGAAAAGATAAAAGTTCTGTGGAGTTCATAATCTGAATGGGAAAACTTTTCTTTCAAAGCCCCACTCGCCCGGCAGGGCGTGGCTCAGCGGTTGAGCATCGACCGGGGATCCAGGCGATCAGGGTTTGATTCCCAGTCAGGGCACATGCCCGGGTTGCGGGCTAGGCAGCCGATCAATGACTCTCTCATCATTGATGTTTCTCTCTCTCTCTCTCTCTCTCTCTCTCCTTTCTTTCCGCGCTCTGAAATCAATAAAGATATGTTTTAAAAAAAAACACAAAAAAAACCCACTCACATTTACTTCCCCCATCCCTATATCACCCAAATCCATGGATCTCAATCAAAAGTAATTTAATTCTTTACACACATATATGGTTGGTATAGTGTTAGTAAGGCTCCTTTGATGAGTACAAGGGCTAGATAACTAGCAAGAGCTTCCTGCTAGCTTCTCTAATGTGCTTTTAATAATCTTACACTTGCCCTCTATCTTCTGGAATGACAGTAACCCTATCGCCCAAATCACCTGAGGAAGAGCCAGGTCACTGAGTTGTACCCCCGGGCAACCCAGGTACAGAGTGCCTGGCTTTCAAAGGCCAGTACCTCCCACACCCACCCACAAGGCCTGTTCAGCCAAATAAGTACAGGCACATCCCATCAAGCACTGCCCGCACTGCAGAGTCCTTATCACATTGCTCTCTTTGGGAATATTTTTATAATTAAAAAAAGTATTTATATCCATAACTCTTCTGCAGGGTTTCCTAACCTTAGCACTATTGACATTTGGGGGCAGATTATTCTTTGTTGTGGGGCTATCCTGTGCTTTGTAGGATCGTTAGGTTAGCAGCATCATTGGCCTCTACCAGTAGCTGCCCCCTATCCCCAAGTGGTGACAATCAGAAATGTGTCTAGACATTGCCATGTGTCCATGGGGGGTAGAATTGCCCCTTCCCAGATGAAAACTGCTGTTCTGAATTGTGTGTTAAAAGGTCACTTTTTATTTCCTGGCCAGCTGATCTAGAAGAGGGAGCGATGTGGGAGCTCTCAGCAAAGAGCACCCATAGAGAGTCCTGCCTTTACTCTGCCTGAATGGCAAATGCCAGTCTGTTCACTCCCTGGGAGACCCCTTCTGCCATTATTTTGTTTCTGATGAACAGATTTGATGATCCAAGAGAGCTAAGGAAAGAGATACCAGGAATAATCTTAGCCGACCCACTAAAGTGCAAAAAAAAAAAAAAAAAGGCGTATGTATCATAGAGATGTTGAAACTCAGGTTTCAGAGGAATCTTCAAGAAAATAAAGGCAGAGGAAGCAGTGAAGATGAGCAGGTGATGAAAGGGTTGACCAACCGTTGCGTGAACTGCAGTTTGGAGAGGCAACATCCAAGGAATGAGTGCCACTAATGTGCACAGTTAGATAACACCTTTTTGTAGAGAACAAACAAGGTTCTGATCCAGGTTGCACTCCCATTTCCAAAAAGGTCATCATACACACACACACACACACCAGCAAATGTCATGTGTCTGTGTGTGCATTCATAATGTATGAAGCATTTGTATATTCACTGAACACTTGTGCAGTTCTGGGAAGTATGCTAAACCAGCATCATTAATTTCAATTTATAGATGAGAAAACTGAGGTTCAAAGAGATTACATGACTTGCCCAAGGTCAAGAACACCTGAACTCAAAAGCACAACCTTATACTTCATATCCAAGACTTACTAAATCCCACGAAAGCATTGTCACCAGCTTTGTCTTCAAAAAAATCAGATCTCTAGAGGATCTGGAAGTAGGTGGGGAATGTGCTGGTCCCTGGCAATTGAGATGTCTCTATAAGCAGAATGATTCTCTAACCCAAACAAAGCTAGGTGCCTCTTCTACACAACAATGTGTGTGTTGCTCTCATAATTCCCTGGGAGACCTCAGATGGGAGGGAGATAGCACTTAAGACTATGCCTGGCACACTGTGGGTGCTCGATAAATGTTTGTTGAACAAATGAGTAATACATGGGCATTGCAGCTGGGCAGACAAGGGTCCCAGTCCTGGCTCTGAAACTCACTATCCACGTGAGTCTAGGTAGTTTAACCTCGCTTCATCTACAAAATGGGGGTTCTAAGCCATGTGTGAATCCTGTGTGGATTCAAGGGAAGTGATGTGCGAAGAGCAGTTTATTACGGTGCCTGGGAAGGGAAAGTCTCTCAACAAATGGTACCTATTGTTTTATTATTGTTACAGTGGCTTCCACCCTGAAGTGTAATAAGGTGGCCTTGGATAAAGGCCAAAGATCAGATAAGAACAAACCAAAAAGGCAGAGACTTGCTTTGGTTGGACACTCTGTTCCGGGAGTAGCCCAAACTCATTATTAGCAGGAGTTAGGGGTGAATGAGCTGAATGTGGGTGCAGGCTCCTCCCCATTGGTTCCCTTTCTCCCTAAAGTGCCAACCTCAGCCTGGGCCACTGGCTGAGTGGCACCATGCAGCACCGGGTCTCGCTCCCATTTCTCCTGCTTCTCACCTTCAGCCAAGAGCTTCAATCGGGAGTAAGCAAAGGTTGGTGTGAAGTGGGAGTACCAAGTGTAGCCTGGGATAGGGCAGGGGGCCGGCAGTGCAAAGAGAGTCTGTTCCTTATCTCATAGGGTAGGGAGTCAATTCAATTCACTTCATCAAATATACATGTTGGGCACATGCGATGTGCCAGGTACTGTCCTGGGTGCTAAGGCTAAAGTAATGAGTGAAATAAAGCCCCCTGCCTTTGTGAAGTTCATGTTGCACTGCGAGAGACAGACAATACATAATACACATAATAGATGATAAATGTGCTATAGAAAAGAGAAAAAGTAGAGAAGGGTAAAAGGGATTCAAAGTCTGGGCTAGGGCTGGTTGTGAGCAAGGTAATATTGAGAAGGGGAGAGATAAGCCAAAATATGAAGATGAGGGACTTAGCTAAGTAAGACCTACGTGTAGAAAAAGGGTCCTTAATGGTCTACTCTTTTTTTTTCTGAAGCTTAAAATCTGCAAATGTAATTGGGGAGAGTAAATGCCGTATATCCAGGGTAATCAATTGGAAATAAAGACAGTTAGCAGTAGTTGCTAAAATTTTTGAGCAGCCAGTAAGCACCCTTTTTAAAAATACATCTTATAATACATGATTATAAAAATAATACCTATACTTTGTAGAAAATTTAAAATACAAAAGTATAAGGGAGAAAGTAGACATTTGTCAAAATCTTACCTACCAGACATTATCACTGTTAACGTGTTGGTAAGCATCCTTCATGTATAGCTCTCTGCCAAGTATGTACATGCATGAAGCTATAGATTATAGATTCGTATATATAAATGGGATCTTAAACCTCCCAATAACCCTATGGGCCAGTGGTTCTTAAAGTTTGTCTCCTGGTCCAGAAGCAGCAGCATCATCTGAGAAGTTACTAATTCCCAGTCCTTCTGGATCAGAGGTTCTGGGGGTGGTTCTCACAATCTGTGTTTTAACAAGCTCTCCAGGTGACTCTGATGCACACTCAACTTTAAGAACCTCTTCTGCAAGGTAGAAAAATATAGTGGTCAACAGGATGGGCACACCTGCAGTTAGATATCTGCGTTGAGGTCCTGTCTCCACCACTTATAAACTCGATGCCTTGGGAACATTATTTAGCCTCTCTGAGCTTCAGTTTCTTCTCCTATAAAATAAGGTGAATGATTTTACTTACTTTATTGAGCAACTGCTCTGATGCATGTAAAGCTTTTAGTATAACTTAGCTGTTAATATATTCTTGTCTTAGAACTAATCAGTTATAAAAATGCCATAAAACTTTTAAGATGCAGCTAAAGTGGTTCTTAGAGACAAATCTATAGCCTTAAGTGTTCATATTAGGAAAAAAGTTGTAAGTCATTTAGCCAAGCATAGCACTCAAGACCTTAGAGAACAACAGAGTAACCACTATCCCCCAAAATAAAGTAAAAATAATAAAAAACAGAAAACAAGATAAATAGGGATAACAAACAAAACTATTAGTTGTGGGAGGGGCGGTGAAAAAAATAGGTTCTTGTAAAGCATTAGCACAGTTTCTTCCATACTCAAAATATACACACACATACATATGCTCACATATGCACACATACACAGAGGGTATTATCATCCTAATTTCATAAGAAAAGAAACAGATCAAGTGATTTTTCTTTAGTTTAATGAAATGGAGGAGCAGAGAGGCAGGAATGAGAAAATTAAAAAGCAAATGGGACTCCAGCCCCTACAAAGCCACTTCTAAGGATCCAGAGGGTAAGGCTGCTATGACCGGGATGTCTCAGGAACATTCCAACATGCCCCACCCTGCTTCCTATCTTGACTGGACAACTAGTCTGCCGCTTTTCCATTATCCTTCACCCTCAGGGTCAGTCATATAGGGTGGAAGATAAGACAGAGCCTGAACCTTTTCCTCTGCCTAGCCTGGTACTTAAAAATCCACTACAGGAGTGATCATCCATTCATTCTACTACGACAAATATGGCTTGAAAACCTGCAAGCCTTTGCAGCCTGACCACCCTGGGTTTGATGCTTGGCCCTACCATTTTCTAGTATGACATTAGGGAAGGCACTTCATCTCTGACCTTAGTTTTTTCATGTAAAGTTGGAAGTCCTAATATCTACCTTGAAGAGTAATGGCAAGGATAAAACCCTTCACATAAAATGAGACTACAAAGAAACTTGTAACTCCACCTCAGAGGGTCTCATGGGTTTCTTTTCTATGAAGAAATATTTACTGAGAACTAAGAGCCAGGCCTGTGTGAGGCATGTAGACTGTGGAAATGAGTAGGGTGAGATCCCTGCTCTCAAGAATCTTCTTGGTTAAGGAAGAGAAAGAGTGATTGAGAGCAGCTACTATTTATTGATGCTTTTCTATTTATCAATGCTGCCCATGGGTTATCTCTAAGCTTTCAGTAAGCCTAAAGTGTGAATATTATACCCCCATTTTACATGAAGGAAATTTAGTGCCAAAGATATAGGTGATTTGTCTGAGAGCACACAGCTAGAAATTTGAATCAATTATGAACCCCATTCTCAGATTCCAAGTCAGTCCTTTCATATAAGATATCAACTCTAGCCCGGCTGGGCATGGCTCAGCGGTTGAACATCGACCTAGGATCCAGGCGATCAGGTTCGATTCCTGGTCAGGGTACATGCCCGGGTTGGAGGCTCGATCCCCAGTCAGGGGTGTGCAGGAGGCAGCCAATCAATGACTCTCTCATCATTGATGTTTCTGTCTCTCTCTCTCCCTCTCCTTTCCTCTCTCTGAAATCAATAAAGATATATTTTTTTTAAAAAAAGATATCAACTCTAGAATGATTATGAGACAGGAGGTGGAAGCCTGAAAGAGCTTACTCATCAAATCCTAGAAAATCAGATCTGAAAGGATGCTCAGAAATGATGAAGTTTAACTCCTTAATTTTACAAATGAAGAAATGGAGATTTGGAGAAGTTGGCACAATATCACACAGTCATAAGTTGACTTCACTAGAGCTGGATTCTCAAGTCTGGGATTTTGAGCACAGCAGGCTACTTCTAGAAATGAAAAACCTCAATTTCTGTATAGATGGATAAGGCCATGGCGGTGTGGGCCAGGCAGGCTGGTTGGGAAGAGGTACAGAGCTCAGCTACCGTGAATTGAACGCCTCACAGATGTGCCTACAGCCATCCCAGCCCCTGGCATATGGGGCTAACAAGGAGGGAAAGGTGATAAATTTGGCCTCTCTCAACCAGTTTCTCTCTTTAGGCCAACAGAGTCACCAAGAGAATGTCTCCCCAGATGTTTGCAAGCTTCCTATTGAAAGGGGCCCTTGTCGAGCCAAACTCCGGCGATGGTATTACAACTCAAAAACTCATGAATGTGTGATATTTTACTACGGAGGCTGCAATGGTAATGGGAACAACTTTTTGAAGAAAGAAGTATGTATGAAAGTCTGCAAGGATGTTTGATTTCCTAACAAGAGCCCAGCCCTCCCTAGAGTCAGGATTGCTCTATGGCAATAAAAACAGTTTCTGTGAACAAGAGATGCATTACTCCACCCCAAATTTATTCTCCCTGCTGTGTTCTTAAAATCACTCATCTCTGTGCCTGAAATTCTATAAATATTGCCAACATGTTTAAAATCTCAAGACCTTTTTTACATACATACATACACACTTACTGGGGAAAGTAAGAGCTAGCAGTCATTCACACTGAATCTGAATTACTGCTTAGCCCATTAGAGCGTAAAGGTTTTGGAGGAGAAGGGGGTGAATCTGAAAACCTGAGCATGGTATTAGAAAGGTCTACCTTGGACAAGGAAAGAATTTCTGGAGTCCTGTGAAATAAGACAAGGGAACAGTAGAAACCAGAGAAGAAAGGGAAATGGGGGAGGAACCGAAGATATTAAGGCCACTTTTGATTTAAAAACTAGTGAAACTTTATGAAAGCCCTTATCTTCTAAGGCTGCACCACATTGTTCCTCATGGGCTACGTGAGGAAAGAAGTGAAGAGCCCTGGTCCTGTAGTCCCTTGATTTGCTTTAAGCGACATCAATTATTACAACTTGGAGGGGAAGGAGAAAACATGGGAATAATCTGTTCAGTTACATAAATCAAGAGGGGAAAATGGAGGACCAAAGATGGGTAAGAACCTCTCTAAAATCACAGGGTAGAAATGAAACAGAGGCATCACTAATCCAAGAAAAATACCTACTCCTCTGCATTGTAATGCCCACCCTATGATTTTTCCCAAACTTCCTCTGTACTCAGGGATGGAGCATTCAATTGATCTGGAGACACACCCATATGGGCCTCCAGAGCAAGGTCTACAGATCCCAGTGCTGGCTGTGGAAACTGAAGCAGCCCAGGGGCTTAGTTCCAGCCCCTCTCAGCCATGGTCTAGGGCCAGTTCTGCCCATTTAGGGACCCATCCAGTGACTAAGCACCAGGGACCTGGTGGGAGCCACACTTATGATGTGCCAGGAACCAAGCTAAGTGCTTTACATACAGTATCTCATTTAATATTCCCAACGGCTGAGAGGGGAAGATTCTATTAATATCTGTATCTTACAAATGATATTAACTCTGATTACTTGAGTAAGGTGGTATCAGCAAGTATTTGTTGGGAGGAACTTAGGGTTTATTTTTTGGAGTTAACTTCTTTTGTTTGTTTGTTTTAATCCTCACTGGAGGATATATTTTCTATTGATTTTTAGAGACAGTGGAAAGGAGGAAGGGAGGGAGGGCGAGAGAGAGACGTCAATGTGAGAGAGACACCTCGGCTGGTTGCCTTCCACGCGTGTTTGGAGTTAAGGTTTTAGACTATGTGTGAATGCTTTGAGTCTCATTGTCTCTGAATTATGGAAGAGAGCAAGGAAAGAAGGGAGACAGGAGGAAGGGAGGGAGGCATGAAGAGGGAAAAGGAGAAGTTCTAAGCTCTACTCAGAATGGGTGGGTTAACGTAAGGCTTAAGGGTAGCCCCCTCTCGGGAGTAGGCTATTACACTACCAAGATGGAGTAAAGTTTAGCCTAGGACATT